GGTAGAAGTAAACATTCAAATAAGCGAATGGGTCTAGTTCTTCTTTGACTTCTGTCATGTACTTGTTGACTGAAATATATTTCATCATCTTTTCTATCGGATAAAAAAATATTTTTTTTAAATTTACTCAGAAAAATTTTTCTTTGTATATACGCCGTTCTGAACATCTAAAAGATTTTTGACATTTGCCAAGAATGTTCGTTTAGACGCTGCCATATAACCATATTCTTGACAATATTGTTTATATGAATCGTACAATGACCTTTCATCTAAACACTCAAAGTTAGTCTCATCTATAAACAGTTCATATACACTCTTGTTTGCTTCTAACAATGTTTGTCTCTCTTCGGTATGTGGAATTTGTCTTGGATTGAACTTTGAAATATCTAATGTCATAAAATATGAGAACAAGTGGTTGTAAAAGTCAGATGTCAAAGTTTCTGCTAAGTCGTCAAAATATTCTGTATCTTGCATATGAGCTTCTGACGTTCTGACAACTACATATCTTCTGTCAGAACTTTCTAACTTCATCGGAACAGAATTGTTTGAAACCATAATGAAGTTTGCAACATTTTCACAAACTCTTTGGTCTTTATATTTTCTTTCAACAACTCCAACTTTGTCTGTTATAAGACTCTTCAAAGCATCTGAGTTCAAAACTTTTGTTGTATCTATACTTTGAAGTTCGTTACATACTATAAGTTTCATATTCTCTATTGAGGAGTTAAACTTGCCACAGATGTTTTCTAAGTTTGTCATATTCGGGTTCGAATAGCCCTCTAACAGTTTGCATAAGATATCTGTAAAGAAAGTGTTCTTACCAGTTCCTTGTTTTCCAATTATAATGAGAGCAGTTTCATTTTTAGCACTTGGATGTTGTAAGATGTTTGCAAACCAACATAAGATATACTCATAGACTCTTTCGTTTCCATTGCATATAATTTCTTTGACATGGTCTAACCAAGCTTCTATAACATTTTCTTTCCATTCTACTTGTTCGTATTTATATCCAGTGAAGATAGAATAGAAGTTTGGAGATGGTGTATAGAACTTTATACCACGAACTGAAAAATCTTCTAACTTTGACAATAAGATATCCCAAGCATCTAACATCTTCATACCAACTTGTACGACTTTTATTTTCTTAAGTTTCTGTCTACATTCTTGTTCTGAAACTATTGTCGCTCTTGGTTTGTTAAAGACAACATCCCATTCTTTCATGACATAACATTCTGGGGCAGAGTCGACATAAATGACTAAACGTTTCAAATTCTCGACTGCTTTGTTATAGTCTCTAAATGGACACATATTTCTGAACGCTTGGAAGTCATAAAAATCTGAAACGTCTATTCTGTACATTTTTATAAAAATAAAAAAAAATATTTTTTTTATTCTTGACTTTGTTGTTGCATTTGTTGTTCTTGAGCTATTTGTTGTTGAAGTTGTTCTTGTAGTACAATACTTTCACCAGTTGCATCTTCCAATTCGAAACTTTCTGCCGTCATTGACAAATACATAGGACATAAAAGTTTTACAGGAACAAAGTTTGCGTCGACTAAGGTTAAGTTTATGTTTGCTAAAGTGTTTGAGTTTACTAAAGCTGAAAATTCTGCATTCGAATGAACAATAGGCAAACCAGCAGAGAAAGTGTTGTTTATACGCATGAGTATCTTTTGGTCATAGTAGTTTCTGTCGACATTCGAATAGCACTTTGAACCTAAGTTTGAAACAATATATAAAATAGGTGTACTTAAAGTCAATGGAACAGACAAACCTTGTATGACACCTTTTCCTGTTATAGGAAACTGTTGGTAGTAAAAACCAGATATAAGTTTTGTATTATAGCTCATATCGTTTATACTAAACTCAGTCGGACATCCAAACATAATGAAACCTGCTCTAGTTGCAGCACATGTTACATCCGTCCTTAAAGTATTAAATAAGTCAACAAAACCTGTTGGTGGTATATCTGAGTAAGTATCTTCAAAGAAGTATTTTTTACCATTCACAACAACAAAGTCTTCTGGTGTCAAAAGAGCAAAACAGGCTTTAGTCGTCATCGTGTTTAAGGTCAGTTTACAATATCGTCCTTGAGGACTTTGTAAGTTTGTTGTTATAGAATTATATGACTCAGGGTTTTTAGTCGTAATAGTATAAACCACTATGTCTTCTGCCATTTACTTAGCAAGTAAATTTTAATGAAATGTTGTGGTCGTCAAATATTTTTATGACGTCTGGGAAACTATATTTTAAGTTCAACGTTTCACCTCCTTTCATAACGTATATCTTGTCAATGACATTATATGAAACACCACAGCAAGCAATGTCGGGCTCTATTTCTTTGATGTTTATATCGTCTGCCTCTGTCAAAAGTTTCAATAGTTCTTTCAAAATTTCATGAGGTGCGATGACATATGAGTTCACTTTTACAGGGTTGTGTTCGACCAAGTTTAACATTATACCCAAAGCTTGACAAATCTTCTCCTGAGTTTTAAGTTTGTCTTTAAGTTGTTGGTAGTCGTTTCGAATATCTGCAACAGAACTTAAGTCTCTGCTAACTTCAGGATATGTTGGTTGTTCTTTCACAGGAACAATTGTTATATCATCTTCGTCTTCGTATGGTTTCCCCACTTCAACATCTCTTTCTTTGACATTGACAACAACACTTTGACTGTTTGTTTGAGTTGGTGAATTTAACTTCACATCTGCCACCGCCATTAAACCTTTTGAAACACTCACGCTTCTATTTTTCGGAAATGACATTTTACTTAGAATAAAAAGATGGACGTATTTGAGTATCTCTTCGAATTGAAGCAAAACAAAGTTTACACACACAAACAATACAAGTTCATTGACAGAGTAGTTCTTTACACAAACAATGGAAAATGTTATAGAATAGCAGTCTTTGCTGAACCAAAATATTTTCATAAAGCAAAGAAAGTTGGTATAACCGAGATGGTGAAAGTTCTTGAAGCAGACAAAAATATAACAACAAAACTGACCGATATTTCTAAAGGTAAGTTTATAATACAATATTATATCAAAACTGGCGTACTGTCAATATTTGACGGAGAGAAGTCAGTTCAAGAACAACTTACTGACCTGCTGCCAAAATCTGCTCGATGGAAGCTGTCGTTATACCAATCTGAGGAGCCCCAGCGGGTTTCATCGAACGAATCTTCAAAAGAGCATCTTCCGTGAAAAGTGCTATTGGTTTTGTAAACTTCTTTGCTTTCAATTCATTTGGACCGTCTCTGTCACCAGTATATTGTATTTGAACTGTACCAACAGTTGAAATACCACCCATAAAGTCTTCTGAGTCAGCAAATGGAATGCCAAGCCAAAAGTTTGAACGGTCTCCATTTGTATATTGAGTGTTTTGAGCTCCTGTATGGGTCCATACTTTCACATATGGCATAATAGAACTTTGCATTTCAGGGTTAATGGTTGTTGTGAAGTTGTTGTTAAAGTTCATAGCATCTAATGTCAAGTTGTATGACCTCATATCCTCAACTGTAGAATATTCTTCTCTTGGATAGTATTTGCCATCTATGTTTATATGGTATTTAATACCAGGGTTGTAGAAACAAGAATAGTCATTTATAGTTCGTCTGAACAGTACAAACATAGTATCTGCATGTTTCATTGCAGTTGTTAAGGCAATATCTGTTCTTGCACCTGGGTCAGCACTTTGGTTTCCAACTTCACCTGCAAAGTCTTTGACAGATATTTGGTGTATAGGGAACATAAGTGGAACTGCAATATATTTGGCAGCTAAAGCATTTGAAATATCTGGGTCCAACATATAGACTGCAAGTCTGCTTTCTATTCTCTTGCATTCAAACTTTTTCGCATGTGAACTTAACTGGGTCCCAAGCAGTTCCAGCAGCATTGAAATAGTAGTTTACTTCAGTGTTGAGGTTTGAGAAACCAAAGTCTAAGTCAACTTTGTCTTTGCAAAATCGGCGAATGACGTTTGATTTGCCCCTTTACGTCTGTAAGAGTGAATGGGTCTTGTGTTGGTGCAATGACTAAGTTATTTTTGCTTGGAGTAAGTTCGATAGAAATTTTTCCTGCCCAGTTTGGCAAGTATCTTAAAAACCTGAAGATGAGGAAAGATGACAAAGGAACTCTAAGTTTCAGTTTTACTTTGGTTACTGCTGCTGCAGTTTGTCCAGAAAGGTTAACATAAACTCCTGGAACGTTAGGGTCAAGTCTTCTTATTTTCTCAATAGTTGCATACTGGTCTGTTTGTTCTCTAGCTTGTGGTTGTACTGAGTTTCTCAAAGCGAACCATTCATAGTTTGCCCATGTTACTGTTTGGACTAAGTCAGAGTTAGAATATATCTTATATCCCATGAAAACTTCTGGAGCATATTGGTATCCGACATAGAAAATTCCATTGCAACCTTTCTTGTCAGACAACTTGGCAGAAGGTTTTATTTCAATGTCTTGTTCCACGTATAAGAAAGAGTTGTCAATAGAAATTATATGAAACCTGTCGCAAGCAATATCTACTGTTGTTGAAGAACCTTCTCCAAACTCACCTACATTTCCATAAGAAACAGCAGTTGTATATTCGTAAGTTCCAGGAACTATTTCTGACCTTCTAATGGCATTGTCGCATTCGTTATACCATTCGGAAACATTTCCATTCATAGCATCCAAAACTGTTGGCGTTATATTCTGAGCGGCGTACATTTCATATGAGTAAAAATATAGAATAGTTGGATTTATATGTCATAATAGAACCCACTCCGACCAAGCTTTACTTTCTTCCTGACTGAGTTTTTAACTCTTCTTTTTCCTTCATTGCCCTCTGCTTGAAGTTGTTGCATCTTTGCATTATGTTCATCTAGTATGTTGCAAATTTCCCATGTCCTTTTTGCCTTTTGGCTCTGGTCGCCCATCTCAGGTAACCTATATCCTAGAAAGAGTTTGTCATAGTCTGTATTTGAGTCTTCGCGTATTGTTTGCATGACTCTTTCCTGAGTTTCCGGTTCAAGCTCTTCAAACAGTGCCTGTCCATATGGAATATGCTCGTTTCCAAATATATGTTTTTGTAGCCATTCTGGTTTTCTTTCCATGTTACCAACTATATCTTTTGTGAATGGGAAAGCTTCTACCCAATCTTTCAGTCTTGCGTCGTTTATTTCTGTAGTTGGTTTTATTTTGTCAAGGAACATGTTTTTCAATACTAACATTTCATTTGGTACTGTCCATTTGAGTTTTCTTAAATATTCATCCCTTCTCGGTTCATTGTCTGCAAAGTAAGTTTTTATGACATTTTGTAAACTTTCGTTTGCAAGGTCATGTACAATAGGTTCTCTTCCTTCTCCCTCCCTAACTTTCTTTCTAAACTCTTCACCAAATATACCATCTCTATGGTTCTGTGTAGTTCTTTGAGATAAATGTTTTAGAACGTCAGGTGTTATATTTCCATCAGCCATGTTCATTTCATACTGGTCCAAAATATCTGCATGTTTCATATCTTTCAATGGCATTAAAGCCGCGCTGAAAATACCAGCTATATCTGGTTCACCATTCACTTCCATTGCGTCTACAACTTCTTGGAATTGAGGTTGTAAGTTTATGAACCACCTATCCGGGTTAGCTTTATGACCCCATCTCATTGTAGTTCCATCGTCTGCAGAAACAAAAGTAGGTTTGTTTCCATCTTGGCTAGGTTCTGAATGAACTTTAAACAATGTTTCATTTCTATATGTTTTCTTGAAATTTAACCTTTTATCTTCACCGAGTTCATCCGAAGATTGAACGTTAAATGCTCGTAAGTAAAAAGGGTTGTTGTATTTGTGTACATTTTTTTTCAGTACTTCCATTCTATGCTGAATATTTTCATCTGGTGTTGGAGTCTTTTGTATGTCGGCAAACATTTTTCGATATTCTTCTACTATGTCAGCCGAATTTTTTTTAGACTCCTGGAAATATTCCATATTCTCCGCATACTCTTGTTGAGGGTCAAGATTTTTCGGCTGTTCCAAATCTTCATCTAGTTCTGTGAGGTTAGTTTCCAAAGGAGTGACTTGTTCGTTTCCTTCAGGCTCTTCTAGCTGTTGTTGCTGAACTATTTCTTCCATGTCTGGTTGTATCTGAACTTCTTCCTGTGGAGTTTCTTGTACCTCATCTGCTGGCATTTCATATATTCCGAGACCGTTTTCAACAAGTTCCCTATTTAAGTCATCCGCATTCATAACCCTTTCTTCTTTCGTTCCTTCTCTATTTTTTACGCGTTTCATGAAGATAGTTGAATTGTCATTTATCTCTGACACCAAATATCTCGGAGTAAATTCATCCATGTCATTTGGATGATATGCTATTAAATCATATCCCTTAGCGAGCTTGTATTTTCCAGGTTTGAAATTATATCCGATTTGGTGCTGAGCCATAAAGCTAAATAGATTCGGGTCAGTATTTCCATCCTTGAACTTTCGAATAGCTTCTTTATATCTGTCACTAAAGTCAAGAGTATCTGGGTAACCATAATTTTCCTTAAGCATTTTTAAGAATTCTTGGTTTCCTTGTTCTCTACTTCTTTTATGTCCTTGCTCTGTTTGTGGTTGTTGTGGTGCAGTGTTTTGAACTGTTGGTTGTGGTGCAGTGTTTTGAACTGTTGGTTGCTGTGCAGTGTTTTGAACTGTTGGTTGTGGTGCAGTGTTTTGAACTGTTGGTTTTGGTGCATGCCTATGTCTGTGTCCATGTGACGATGTAAATGTTTTAGGTAGTCCTGGTGCAGGTGCTTCTCTTGGAGGGTTTGGTGGTATATAAGTTCCACTAGCTAGTATATAAGTTCCACCAGCTGGTATATAAGTTCCACCAGCTGGCACATATGTTCCATCTGCAGCGTAATGTCCTACCTGACTTTTCGTTTTTAAGAAAGCATTTACTAGGTCTGTTTTGGTCTGTTGTAACTCTTTTTCTTGACTTTTCACAACAGTTGCTCTAACGGCGTCATAGGCACTTTGAACTGCCTGTCTCGTTGCTGCATCTGTTATTTTCGTCATATTTTGTGCTACTTCTTTTAACTCTTTGTCGAAACCTTCAGACTTCAGTTTCTTTCCAGATGAGAAGTCGTTCACTAGTTTCACCTTACTATGAAGAGCTTCGAAGGCGTTCTTAAAGTCAGCATTTGTTAAAGCTTCATTTGAACTATCTTCATCCGCTTGTATTTTTGTCCTTATTGACCCTATGAGTTGGGCTGCTTTAGCGTTGGCTTGGGCATCTAACCAGTCATTGTTAGCTTTTATATATTCTGCGCTTTTCATTGCCTTTTGCATAGCCGCGTCGTTATTTTTACTTTCTTGTGCTAAGTTTTCATACTGTACGGTTTGGTTTTGCAACTGTAAAAGTTTTTCTGCCTTTACATTTGCTTCAACTTCTTTTTTATACTCATCGCTATCCATATATGTCTTCAGGGCTTTTTGTTTTATCTCTTCATCTTTCAGTATTTTATATTGAGTAGTATGGTTTTTCAAATTTATGACATCTTGTTCCATTTTTGCTACTTCTGCTGCTTTTTCTGACACTTTTTTCGCATATTCCTCTGTACTTAGTTCCTTCAGTTGTTCTTCTTTCTTCTTTTTCTCTACGTTTAACTCATTGAGTTTCTTTGTGTGTCTGTCATATTCTAGTTTCTTTTCGTTTTCACTTATTTGCTTCTGTATGTCTATGTTTGACTTTTTGACATCTGTTATTTGATTTTTGAGTGAACTCAAATTCATTTGACTTTGAGGGTTATAGGCTGTTCCGTCTGCAGCTCCACCATAGCCTGCCATTTTCGCTAAAAGTGCCGCTCTTAAACCTCCACTCTGTGCACCAACAACTCGGTTTAAAAGCATAGGATTGTTTGACATTTGTTGCAACATAGTGGGGTCATTCAGCATTTGTTGTTGCAACTGTTGTTGTGGTGTCAGTTTTACTATTGGATGTTTCAATGCTCCCTTCCTCTTACGTATATTCTTACGTAGCTTACGTGGCATTTTAAGTGAAGTTAAAAAGCGGTTTTTGACAGATGTTTATATGACACTTTTTGTTCAGCACAAAAAACTACTCGGTCAAAGTGTTGTCAGTTTTGTAAAATAACCGTCCTATCTCATTCTATAAGGGGGAAAGTCTTCTCAAAGTATACTTCCTTGGAACGCCTGTAACTTTTCCTGTAGCGACGATAGACCCTTACTTGTCCGGACAAAGCTGTACTATTTTGAGTGCTCTACAAAAAAGTCAACGGCGACGACTCTCAAAAACCGTTGTGTAAAAAGTTTTACCGTTGGACAAAAAGTATATATAGAAAACAAAAAACGTTTATAGTTCATTCAATATTTGAGATGGAACGGTTTGCCAACGGTAACTATTAAATAAAATAAAAAAATAGAGGGGGTTACCGTTGACGAAAACGGTTTATTTCAAACTCTTATTTGAGTTTATTTTTCATAATGGAAGGAAGAAAAAGTGTCGCAAACAATTCTCAACCGCTAACCAAAGCCAAAGCCCCACAACCTCCAAGAACCGGCACAGCGGTTAGAATAACCACCAAAAAGTCTAACAGCGAATTAAGAGAAATTCTTCAACAAATTTGCTCTAAATATCTCAAAGACGCCGAAGAAAACACACAACCAGACGCTACATACAATACTCAGTTCTGTGAAGTTCTGAACAAAGCAATTGCTAGTTCAATTGAACTTACTAAGACAATTCCAAATCCAATTGAGCTTAGCGATGTCTTAGTTCAGTATTTTCCAACATTTACTAAGCTTATAATGTTGAGAACTTTATACCAAGTTCGTCAAAATCTTCCTCGTTACATGCAACGGTCATTCGACAAGAGAATTGCTGAATTCCAAGTCTTTAGTTACGGATATGACGAAGATGAATACGTTGACGAGTTCGGAGACAACTGTACAAAATGGTTTGAATGTTATACGACAACACAATTTGAATTCGACTTTCTCGAATTCAACGCAGCAACCATTCATATCATTGCTCTTTACCTTTCCGAACAACAACAAGACCTCGCAGATGGAGATGTTGTTACTGTCGTCATGGAAACTCCTGAACAATTCGGAAAAAAGAAGTCTCTAATTGCCAAATTCGTTCCAGGACATCAGCTTTTCCAACGCACAGAAGTCTTCTGTATTCCTGGAACTAAGTTCTTTGTCAAGAGCGAACTCAAACAAAGATATAATGTGTCATTCAATTACACATTATATAATGTTTTCGACCCAGAAGAAGACTTCTTCCCAGAAGCAATGGAAGAGGAAGAAGAAGAGAAACACGAAGAAGAGAAACACGAAGAGTCCTCCGAATTCACACCAGAAGACTAACAATTTTCCGAATAAAAACCTCATTTTATACTAAACATCTTCGGGGCTAGAAGGGGCGCAGCCCCTGGAAGCCCCACTACCTTTTTTTTTTTTTTTTTTTTTTTTTTTTATATATATGGGAAACTTTGGGAAAATCTGGAATAATGGAAAAATCAATGGTAAAATTCCAAAATTTTGACATTACGACTTCTTTTGCTTTTCCAATTCAACAACTTGATTTTCAAGTCCTTCAACGATATATTCTTGCTTAAAAGTCGCTGCTTCTGCTTGATGAATTTCATTCACTAATCTTTCGACAAGTTTTGATTTTTGGATAAGTGCTCTTTCCTTCATTTCTATTTCAGCCTCTTTTGACTTGATCATATATACAAGACTTTCGTTTTCATGTTTTTGTAGTAATATACTTTCTCGATTTTTTTCTTGGACTTCAAGCGCCCTGACAAGTTTATTCTTTTCTGTTTGCTCATGTAAAAATGTTTCTCTCAATGATTTTACTTTTGTTTCTAAACTTGATATTGATATTAAATATTTTTCACAAATACTATACTTTTTGTTCATTCTTTTAATCTTATCTAACTTCTTATTAAGAGAATTCTGAACAAATTCTTTGTCATTTTGTATCTGTTTCTGATAATCATTCAAATCTCTATAAATTTGATTAATTTTATCGCGGCCATTCGATCTATTTGATTTCAATGCATACAGATTTTGGAATGCAGATGGATCATCATGATTAATCAAGTAATATTTCAATTTTTGTTTTGCATCATTTGTTTTTTTAGAAATTTGAATAGATCTAATACGCTGCGAGACATGAGATCTCCTCTTTTCATTATCTTTTATTAAGGATTCTAATGAAATCAAGGATCTTCTAATATCATTTTTTAAATAATCAATATCTTCAATTTCTAGTACTCCACAATCATTTTCATTGGTCAAATTTGAAGAATATTCAAGGTAAGTCGGGATTGGTAATGAAAGAATTTTTTCAGCTTGTATTTTCCTATCATGATACTGTTTTTTATCAAATGATAACTGTCCTATATGTTCTGATATTATTTTATATTGTTCGTTTAAATTTTGTAGAATTTGATAGATGATTGAATAAAATTGTGTCAATGTTTTCGTTTTTTCAAGTTCATTTTGGTAATTTTGGATAGTAATTTGCAAATCATCTTGATTATATTCGGTTTCAATATCTAATTGATCACTTGTAATGCTATTTAATGTTGTTTGTATTTCATTTTTCCTTATTATTAATTGGCGATGCTTTTCTTGAAGTAAATTTTGTTTTTGCTTGTTCATACTTCTTAAATCTGAATTGTACATTGAATCAATTTCATTATTTGAACGAATTAAATTTACCATTCGTTGCATTTCTGCTATTTTCTCACTGTCATAGAGATTTTTCTGTAAGTAATTCTTAAACTTATCTATTGTACTTATGATTGATGTCTCTGTTTCAAATGGTAGATCATCATTCATTGAGGAAAAAATTGATAAAAAAAATATGCACGTTTAATTTTTGTTAGAATTTTCCAAAAGTGACAACTAAAGATTTTAGTCAAAATATTAGATTTTAGACAAAAGTGACAAATGGAAGGAAATTCGAAAGACGAACTGAAATTGCCTCCAGCTCGAGCACTTGTTCCTGGAACTGATTTCACAGTTGATTGGCATTGCAAAACTGATCCAAAATATGTGCATTCATTCCTTTCACATGCACATTCGGATCATATTGCAGGAATTCCTTCTTTTAAGCCACCTAGAGTTCTTCATTGCACGCCAATTACCGCAAAAATCATACTTTTGAGGTATCCTAGACTTGCAAAATGCATTCAAATTCACGAATACAATTCAGAGTTTATTATAGATGCTATTACTATAAGAATTATTAATGCAAATCATACTCCCGGTAGTTGTATGTTCTTATTTGAAACTCCTCTCGGAAGAAAAATTTTACATACAGGAGATTTTCGCGCAGACAATACATTAATCGAATCAATTAAGAAATTCTGTCCTGTTAATCAATTGTTTATAGATTGCACGTATGCTACATCAAAATTACTGTTTTTATCAAGACAAGAATGTATTAATTGGACGATAGAAAGAGTAATCGAAAATATGAAGTCAAACACACTAACATTAATAGGAACTTATACTCTTGGCAAGGAAGAACTTGTTCTAGCCATATCAAACAAATTAAGTATTCCAATATACGCTCCAAAAGATAGATATAAAGGTATTGTTGAGATGATCAAATGTGGTTATTGCAGTGAATCATGCTTTACTAACGATCCTACCAAAACTCGTGTTTATCTCGTACCAATAATGGATTGCAATAGTGTTTCTGCTTCTGTTTGGGCGAAACAGAATGGGTATTCGTCAGTTTGTGCTATTGCCGCTACAGGATGGAGTGGAAAAGCAGGTTGGAAAAATCCACAAATTACGTATCAAGGACCAATTAAAGTTACACTTTATGAAGTTCCTTACAGTGATCACTCATCACCTCAGGAGCTATTAAACTTCGTCAAAGTTGTAAAACCAAAAAAATTGGTTTCTACAACTTCAAGATCACAGAAAGAAGAAGATAAGATTCAGCAAATGTTCCTTCCATTTATTAGAAAAGAGAAAAGCCGCGGTTTCATTGACTTTTACACAAAATAATTACAATGAAACTGATCAGAATCCGCCTATAATTACAATCAGTAGGTAATAACAAGCTGTTTTACTTATTTTTGTTTTTTAATTTTGAATAATTTTTTATATAATTTTATCCAAACTGGAAAATGATATTTCAAGTAATCTCAGTTCATGGGATGCATTCAAATGATAACTTTCGATACAAAATTTCCATATTTTGTATTATTTTTCTTTTATTTTGTTTGTAATATAATAAAAACTTAATATTAGGTCAGGTAGGTGGGGCTTCCAGGCGCGTTGCGCCCTCTAGCCCATAAGAAATTTTGCCCAAGACCCAAGAGGAGGACCGAACCCCAGCCGACCAGCCGGTGACAAAACCAAAACCGTTGTTATTGACATCATATTAATGGTGTCACTTTTTAAAATGTCACTTTTTATGTCGCTTTTCACAAATTATATATGTTTTCATGTTTTGTCACTTTTCTGTCACTTTTCGGGTAAAAACATTTTTATTATTATATATAAATGAATTTTACAAAACCGCCGTTACCGTTCTTTGGAAATAAGAGTAGATGTAAAGATATTATATTGAGAGAACTTAAGAAACTACCGAATGGTCTAACATTTGTAGATTTGTTCGGTGGAAGTTTCTATATATCCCATTTATGTCATACCGTATTTCCTGACTCAAAGATTATATGCAATGACTTCGACAACTATATGGACCGTCTCAAACATATTCCAGACACAAACAATATATTGAAAGAGTTAAAAGAAAAGATACCTATAGGTAAGATGGAACGTATACCATTAGATAAGAAAAATATTGTGAGAGAGGTTTTGAAAAAAGCAGAATATATAGACTGGGATAGTATATCTGCTAGACTATTATATAGTGGTGCTATAAGAGTTCATGACATTGAAACACTTATGTCAAAAGTTTTATATCTTAACTATACAAATGTTTTCAAAGAGGACATAGAAAAATATATTGAGGGTATAGAGTTTGTGAGATGTCATTGGACAGAGTTGTATGAAAAATATAAAGACAAGGAAAATGTTTTCTTTATAGTGGACCCGCCGTTCTATAACACATGGGATTTTCAATACCAAGTAGACTGGACTTTGAGAGACTCTTTAGAAACTTTAGACGTTATACATAACCATCCATGCTTTTACTTTACATCCGATAAAAGTGGTTTGGAAACCGTTATGAGATGGTTAGAGGACATACATGACTATGAGTTTATATATGACAAGATAGAATATGAGAGAGGTCCTATAAACTGGAGAAAGTGTCATAACAAAGAAATTTTATTAGTAAGTAAATGTGGTTTGAAATAGGACTACTTGTTTTAGGTTTTTTCCATTGTGTCATTTATTTATTTGACGTGGCAGAAAAGTACAGAGAATATGAAGATGAACCAATGCCTGCAAATGTTCAGCATATGTACTCGTAATAGATATTTTTATCTAATATTAAATGGACGCACAGAACTTAGCGAATGCACAGCAACCAGGACAACCAAACCCAGAGAATATTCCAAATGAAGTTAGAATACAAACTGCAATGGCAAACTATGGTCAAGTGCCAACAGATGTACAAATGCAAACTGCCATGTCAAATGACGCTGCGTTAGGTTTGCCACCATGGTATGCAAATATGAGATGGAAAGAGTTTTATACAAACCCTGAAGTGGGATATAAACAACTTTATGCAGATGACGCGAACACAGGAGTTGACCCAGAATATGTTTTCTACCAGAGGAGAAACAGAATGTATGAGCTCCAGTTAAAGAATGCTATGGAACTCAACAGGAAACGTAAGAGACTAGGCGGACATTAGATTTTTACATATAGTAAAATGGGTTTCTTCAGTAAGATAGGAAACTTCTTTCGAAATCTTGGAAGAGGTATATGGAATGGAATAAAATCTGTCGGAAGAGGAGTATGGAACGGTGTCAAAAATATTGGTAAAAGAGTAGGTCAGTTCGTTGGTATTATACCTAAAGACCCTGAACCAGAAGAGCAAGCTCCTGTTATACAACAGCCTGAACCTGCACCATAGTCTAGTTGGCAACCAAATCCAACACCTCAACCGTATTAAAAAATTATATTTTTATCGTTCGATAGTAGTTGTATATGAAACTAAGTTCTAAGTAAAACGCATGGTATAATGGAATTATTCTTTTTCTTCCATCTGTAGTAAACCATACTTGAAAGTCTGAAATACTTCCACTCGGCGGTTCATATAACTTTGTAGGTTTTTCGTAAAAGTCATTCATCAGACATAAGAAAGAGTTTTGCGCACCAGAAAATGAAGCATGAACAATAATAGCATCTGGGTCGAAAATATTTTCATATGTTCCATTAGGGTTTTCGACTTCATAATAGTCCGGGTGTACTGGATATGCTGCAGGCTGATTTAACATCCTCATAAATCTATACCATGCCAAGTTGTTATATTTTGTAGAAATATAAACGTTTTCTCCAAGGTCTTCTATTTTATTGATTTTAACAGTTGCATTTTTCCTGTCATAAATAATATCGAGATGGTATTCTCCTTCGTCAATGTTAAACTGGTTTGCATATTCAATATAGATATCGTTTATTTTTTCTTGAAAAGCTTGAAGAGTTGTTTCTAAGTTTATAAGAGTTAGTAAACATATCATGGGTACGGAGGCACTGCGCGCCTCCTTACCCAATACTTGTGAATTTGACACTTTACAAAACCGTTAACGTATATTTTACAACACAAACGACAACACTAACTTAACCTTAAATATTTACAAAACCACCACCCACTTCACTTCACTAACGAACTCACTAATGTAAAAAATAAACGTTCACACTATCGTTCTCACTAACGACTTCACTAATGTTCTCATAAATTTTCCTCAATATCTTCATCATCAGTGTTAACCCTATTGTAGTCATACTTGAAGCCATAAACTTTCTCTAACTTCTTAACGTACAATTTACATAACTTACCTTCATCATCATAAGTTTTTATAAAACTACCATGACAATCTTTATACACAGTCAATGTATAGTCAACTGGTCTAGGATGAAGTGTAAAGAACATGTTATACTCAGGAAGGAAGAATAAATGTTTAAATGTATGTTTGTTATATTTTTCGATTTGTATGAGTTGCTTTTGTTCTGTCATTTATATAAAAATAAAATAAAAATAAAATAAAAAATAAACTTAAAAATTAATGATATCACCACCCTCACACGTATGAAAACATAGCACAAAAATAAATTTAGGTGAAGTGGTGAGATCTCACCTCTTTTTTCACCTGTTTTTTCACCCTGTTGAATTCATTGCTTTATAACTCTCTTCCTTTCTCCAACTCTTCTAGCTTCTTCTTAAGTTCAGCAATGTTGTCCTCATGAAGTTTAATCTTTCTCAAAATTCCTTCTTTATCTAATGGTTGCTTTATCTTTCTAAACTGAACTCTACCATCCTTCATAGTATGAATGTAAAAACCTTCTGGAATAGTTCCTGATTTAATGTATTCTACCAAAAACTTTTGTTTCATTGCTTCAGTGACTTTATTTGTCATTTTACTCTAAGGTGAAGCTAGCACAGCGATAATGGATTTCATGGCTTTTTAGTATTTCATGCAATCTTAACAGATAGCCTTACAAGTACTTCCAGTGTCCCTAGCTGTCCCTCCTTTTTATATAACTCCATGACATTTATAATCTCGCGAAACTTAACAGGTAGCATAACAGATTAAAATCAGATGAGGTTTTGAACCAAAATTTCTAAGCAACATTGTCAAGGATTTTGAGGAACTAGGGACAGAGTGTGGCAAAGTCCAAGATTTAATTTATCTTCATCTGTTTCATCAGCTATCTCATCTAATATGCCAATATTTTATTCATAACTCGTGGCAAACCCACTAACTTTCATTATGTTCATCTGCATGCTTCATCTGATAGAAAGTATGACTTTCATTAACTCTGTGAGATAATGAAAACTACTAGGGACAGAGGCCATGACAAAGTTTATGACTTTCATTATTTCCAGAACTTAATGAAAACTACTAGGGACAGAGACCATGGCAAAGTTCATGATTTAATTTATTCTCTCACTAACAACAAACACAAACTCCAACACTAACGACAAAAATAAATGTCCTCACTTCTTAACAAAGTAATATGTGCTTCTTACACCACCATAGCTCAAACATTTCTTTTCAAACATCGATTGAAACTTATTTTGAGCCATTGGCTTTAGTCTCTTTTTCTTCAAATACGCCAAGAAATCTTCTTCACATCTTTTCACTTCATAGCCTTCTTTAAACTCCTCCTTGTTAAGTTCTATGAAATCCTTTATATCATTCTTTGTTGCAACGGCTTCTTCACGAATGACATCGTGAACTATTTCATCATTGCATTCATGTATGACCTCCTCACTGTTCTCATGAACTATTTCAACACTGTTCTCATGAACGACCTCCTTACTGTCTTTCATAAGCGTTTCAAAGTCTCCTTTACTCATTACTTCAATCTCATGCTGTTCACAGTAGTACTTAAACTCACTGTATATGTCTTTGTTGTATGTTATATTGCTTCCCATGTACTCCATGAATTTTTCAAGCACTTCCTCATAATTCACTGTTTCTTTCTTTCCACGACCTTCTAATATCATACTTGCTTCGTAAATATAACTTCTTGCAGAACCGTCTCGCTTTCTACTTCTCTTCACAAATTCTCTCATCTTGCCACCAAATACATTTGAACTACATGCAAAGAATTCATTCTCCTTCGCAAATTCTTTATATCTTCTGTAGCACTCTGTACAATTCCATCCGGATACAAACTTTTCATAGAACTCCTCGTAAAACATTTGGTAAGGTGTTTTGTTCATTTCGATGAGTTCTTGTTTAGCCCTGGTGAATGGTATCTTCCTTACATCAAATTCACTTAAATCTTTCTTCATGAAGTACGTCAGTAAGTTTGAATAAAACTCTTCATTAAAGCTTTCAATGAGATTTGAGAAATATTCGTAATTTCCTTTGTATCTGCTGCTTACGTCAATGACAACAAATCTTCTGTCGTCTTTGTCAATCTTTACTGAGTTGAAGTTGTTAGATATCATGATGATATTACAAACATTCTCTATCTTTCTTACTGGCTGACACTTCTGATTTAAGTCCAACTGAGTCTCTGTTACTATTGACTTTAGTGCGTCGTGGTTCATGACCTTAGACGTATCGCATGAGCTTAGTTCATTGCATATGATGAGCTTCATGTTCTCAATAGCAGCATTGAATCTACCAACCACATTCTCTATTGCCGTTATATTATTGTTGGCGTACTTGCTAATGAGCTCGCATAGAACATTACTAAGTACATTCTTACCAGTTCCTTGCTTTCCTGTTAACAAAAGTACTGTTCCAGTCTTTCCACAAGGATTTTGAACGATGTAGGCGAACCAGTTCAAAACATACTCATAAAGCTCTTCATCCTCATTACATATGACATCGTGAACATGTTTCAAATATCCTTCAATAATGCATTCATCTACTTCATTCAGTACCTCATACTCATATCCTCTGAAATAGCTGTAAATGTCATCTCTTTCGTCAAAGAATCTCATGCCTGACTTCATAAGATAGTTCTTGTTCTGACCCGCTTCATAAATCATCAGTGCGTTCACATCCTTCTCTTCAATACGTCCTACATAAACACTCTTCATGAGCTTATTGAATTCCTTGCTATCTACTGACACAAGTGTTGTTGTGTCTCGTATTCCATCATAATCTTTCACTAGATATGTCATACGTGCTCCGTCAATAACGACAACACATCTTCTTAAGTCATTTATAACACTAGCTATGTCAATACCTTCTTCACTCATGTACTTATTTCTTCTCAGGTCCTTTAGTGTGAAAGTGTCTCTAAGTTCTATTTCAAGCAATTCATTTACATGTCCTTTGCAATACTTCTCTATAAAATATTTCTGTCGTTCTTTACTAAGTTTCTTAACAGCTCTGAAGAACCATGTGTTTTGACTCAAACATCCTTCACAACTTCTCTCATTCATTCCTAGTTCTTTCATGTCATTATCTTCAACCTCTATGGTCTCATTGACTAAGGTCAAAGGGTTCTTAGTCATTGCTGGTCTTATCTGAAACAATGTTTGTGCAACAGGTTTAACTAGTTCAGCAACGTCCTTCCTTAATATGAATAGCTGTTTCCACTCATCTTTGCTAACAGTTCTTTCATAACCACTGACAGTAATGATTTCATTTACTGACCTTAGACGCTTATGTTCTATCATTTGTATTGCTTTTGTGTAAGGCTTTCGTGAGCATAGGTTGTATATGTCATTCCTGCAATGTTCATTCATGCCAATAGTACTAAATCCTTTCTTTGCTGTTGAGTGCATAATATCCATTAGTTCCTGTGTTCGTATTGCTGTCTCATAAAATACAACAAGACCTTTGTCATCTATGACGTACTTACCGAAAACATTGCTTATATTCTTTAACCATGAAATAACATCCTCATTCATGCTGTCAAACATGAAGTAAGGTCTTACATACTCTTCACTTATAAGATACTCCACAAAATACTTGTTAAACTCTATGTCCTCGTGAGCGATTTCATTAGGTTTGATATTAGTTCCTTTTGTCATTGCTGTCATGTACTTCACTCTCATAGTTCCTTTCAATAGCGTAAAAATACTTCATTGTTTCATAACTGCTCTAAATTCTGTTCAAAATTCGTACAACATAACTTTTAACATTAGTGAAAGAACATGAGCGAAACAACAACATCTAACATTACAGAAGAAGTCAATGACAATGCCGATGAAAACATTACAGAAGGAGCTAGTGAAAATATTGACGAGTTCAGTGAGGAAGAAGATATTGAGGACGTCAATGAGAACGTTAGTGGGGAACAAACTCAATGGGAAACATTGAGAAATCATGAAGATTATGAGATTTGTACGACATATCCTTTTACTATTCGTCGAAAGAAAGACAAACATATTATGAGTGAATGCTTAAATAATTATGGTTATATTGTGCTTAGTTTAAACAACAAAATGCACTTAAAGCATAGAATTATTGCAGAACAGTGGATTGAAAATCTAAACAATTTGAAAGAAATAGACCATATAAATCATGATAGAACGGACAACAGAATCTCAAACCTTCGTTGGTGTTCTAGATCTGAAAACAATAGAAATAAAAGCAAGTATGGCGATATAGTTTATGAGTTCGTTGATGAAATATCTGACGAAGCTGTTGAAATAACAGCTTATGGTAAGCATTCGTTTGAGTTCTACTACTATGTTGAGAATGAAGACGCATTCTATTATTATACAGGTCTTAACTATCGAAAACTTCATATAAACTTTACAAAAACAGGTGCTGCTTATGTTTGTATGATAGATACAGAAAACAAGAGTGTAATCTTATTCATAAACAAATTCAAACGCTTGTACGGCTTCATGTAGGACAAACATTATTTTTCAACACTAACGCCAACACTTAGGAAATACAAACCCTAACTATAAAGTCACTTTTCATAGAAATGGAACGGCTAGTATCTCAAAAAAGAAACAGACTCTCACAAATAAAATATTGAAGTCTGAAGGAGCTTTCGAGACAACAGATGGAAAAGTTTACTTCACTGACCAACAGTTCATTATAGAACATCTCATTGACTTAGAGTCGAAATATTCTAAACTTTACAACAAACACAAAAAGTTGAAAGGAAAACAAAAACAAATGGCATATGATATTTATGAAGATGTTGACGACACAACTGTTCCTGCAGGTGAGGTAAAGCCAGAGGAACCGAAAAGTGACGAAAAACCGATAGAAGAAGAAAAACCAAAAACTGAAGATAAACCAAAACCAAAGTTTAGTTTGGAAACTAAACCAAGTCAACCTTCATTAGCTGGTATGGGTTGGCGTCAAAGACTTCTGGCAGCAGGCGGTTATGTAAAGTAAAGAAAAAAAATATTTTTTTATTTTTATAAAAATGCCCCCATATAAAATGGATAGAAAGTCTGCTAGAATAAAAGCAGAGTTACAAAGATATGGTTGGAGAGTTTCGAAGAAGTTTAAATATAGGAAGGGAAGACCCATAAAAGTCTATGACAAATTGTCTGGTCTTCGCTACGAAATGGATTTGGAAACAGCACGTGCCAATTATCCAAACAGACTAGAGAGGTTAGAAGAAGAACGTCTTATGGACATGCCTTTCGATGTTAGTGAACCTCAAGTTGAAGGACACGACGGCTTTGCCAGATTCTACTGGAAACATGACGAACAATTGCATCCTTTGAGAAGGAAAAAAGGAAAAGGTGAAGACGCACATGCTCCCATGGAAAGAACAAGATATGCATATGAGAAGTACCGTGAAGTTAGAAGTCAAATTACTTCTGGTCGAACCTTTACAGTAAACTTTGACGAAGGAAAGAACAAAGAAGGCTTCATGGGTGTACTTGCTGCAATTCAAGACGGAAATAAGAAAGGACACAATCTCAGATTGACCATAACAGATTTGGATGGTCACATTTACTATGCACATGGCAATGAGCAAACAGCCGCAAAACTTCTTGACGCTTTCAAGACTACAAAGAGAGAACAAATGGTTGACTCCGACTCAGACATTTTGAATGCAATTGAAGGAATTGCAAGTGTCAAGTTCGAATGGTACCAACCTAACCCTCAAGCAGTCAGACAACATGCTGGATACTTCCCCTTCATAAATAAGTCTGACATTGACTTGACAAGGTATGGAATTTACAATTCAATTGAAACAATTGTCAACGAACCTTGCATTCTTACATGTCTCAGGAACTCTGGTCTTGTTACAGATGAGAAGATGAAGTATCTTGAGTCATGTGTGAAGACAAGGTACATTCTCAGAGGTCAATTGGCAAAAATTGCACCGTTGGCAAATGTCAATATCCGAGTCAACATACCTACAGCTAAAGGTTCTTCACATGACGACTATGTTGTTGACAAAGACTTACCATGGTTGAAGATTGTAATTGTCCACAACCACTTCATGTTGAACGAAAGTCTTACAAACCCATTCTTTGGTAAAAGTAAGTGCAACATTGTCAGAGCTGTAAACATTCTTTTCGAGAAAGGTTTGTTGGAACCAATTCCAGATGACAAGCTGACAGAAACTTTTGTACCAAAAGACGAAACAAACTTTTCATTGTTAGCAAGACCAAAAGTTGTTCCAGACAAAGTTCTAGTACAAAAGAAGTACACAGTTCCACAAGGGGTTGGTATGTTCGGATACCAACCTGAACCAGAAGAACTTCCAATGAGGTTGCAAGAACTTCAAGATGCTATAAACAAACTTCCATTGAGACATCCAATTGACGTCAAATTGTATTGGAGAGCATCTGAGTTAGGTCAGAAGGTTTTATATGAAACAGGTTGCTTCGACGATGTTTATGAGATAACAGGAGAAGTTTCTCAGAAGATAAGAGACTCACTTGAATTTCCACAAACTGGACTAATTGGTTGCGACAAGTTCGACTCAGATGAAAAGATATACTATGTCGACCTTAACGCTGCATACATGAGGTTTGTCCAATATATTCCGACTGGAATTCCAAACGAAGATGGTGAGTTCCCGGGAAGGAACTATACAGTTGGAAAAGTCATACAACAACTGTATGATATTAGGAAAGCTTCAAACCCCAAACTTGCAATGACACTCAAATTGCTTATGAATTCGACATGGGGATATTCCATTAAGAAACCTCAAGAGATGAAGAGTAAACATTATGAGAAGGTCGACAACTTTGTTGAAAGGTTTTCTCCTTTTGTTTTGAAGTACGAATTCACTCAAGGTCAAAGTGGCTTAGTAACCACATTAAAACCTATTGTCGAACATTGGTCTTACCCTCAGTTCGCAAAGGCAGTCCTTGACGAGTACAACAAATTCTTCTCCGAAGTCAAATCGAAAGTCAAGGTTTACTATGAGAACATTGACGCACTCATGACGAACGAAGAAGGATACAACAAACTCATTGAAATGGGTTTAGTCGGTGAAAAGATGGGTCAATTCAAATTGGACAAAATTTTCACCGAAGTTCATGTCCTCTCCAAGCGTAAGTACTGGGGTGTTAAAGAAGATGGTGAAATAGTTAAACATTGCATGAAATAAAAAATTTATTTTAAAAAAGTGACATTTTTTAATGGCGTACATCCCTGAGCGCTTCGTCCAGTTCAACCAAATGTTGGTCTCGGACCCAGGCAAGAGATATTCCAAGCCCGAACTCGACCGTCTCTTCAAAGAATGGATTGAAGACTACAGAGGAGACGAGTGGTTGACAATTGAATTTGCTCGGGCTTGGAATTGCTACAGAAGGGTCTTAGACGTGGACCCAAGACTCACGTACAGAGGTTGGGATGTGGTCTTCACATTCCAAAATTGGTACGAATACCAAAAATAAAAACTTAAATTTACTTGGGGTTTCCCCCTAAAATAATTTTTTTTACTCTTAGAACCACTCGAGGTTCTCCTTACGGTTGTTGAGCTTGTCACCGTCAATGTGTCTGACCTTCGTCTTCTTGTCTGGATTTGGAACCCATTGAATTGCGACAAGCTTGCCCATGGAGATTGAACCGCGATTCCGAAGGTTAAGGTTCAAGTGTCCCAAGTTGTTGAGGACTGGGGTAAGAACCTTGCCTGTCTCCTTGTTGCGGATTTGGTATGGGTAGGGTTGGGAAATTTCGTAACCGTCATCGGCAACAAGGGTTGCCCATGTAGCGGCTTCAGGAACTTCTTCTTCTTCCTCTTCTTCTTCGTGTTTCTTTTCTTCCTCTTCTTCCTCGACAATTCCTTCTTCAATTTTGTACTCACGAAGTACGGTGTTGCATGTTCTGTCCTTTCCGAGTACCTTCCAGATGGCGTCTATCTCTTCGAAGAAACGGTAGATGAGTCTGGCAAGGTCTCGGTTCTCTCTCTCGTAATTGCGCAAGGTTTCCGCGAAATCGTTCAGGCATTTCTCATTGGAAGCTTGGTTCATGAGGACATCGGCTTTAAGTTCCTTCATCTCTGTCATAAGACTACTTTGGAGAGTCTTAATGGTGTTTGTCAGATGAGCTTTCAATTGGGCAATTTGAATTTGAATTGGGCGCTTGTCTGGCAACCTTGAAAGGACATCTGCCATTGTGTTCGGCTTCGGTGCTTGTTCGGACATCGAAAAAATGAAGTGGTTTGAGAATGACGGTTTTACTTCAAAAAGCTGGTTATGACAGTTAAGTCATACAACAAGTTTAAAATAATATCTTGCTCTTCTTCTGAACGTTTGTTGTCTCTTCCGATAAAAGTTTCGAACATGAGAACCAAAAAACGTTTTTTGAGGAACCGAAAGAGTTCAGGCAAATTTTCATATTCTGGATATGTTGGGAGCAGTTCAAAACATCTGAGCTGACTTTCGGACAAAATTGGGACAATGTCAGAAAATTCGACATGATCGACGATCATCGCAAAACTCGGCCCTGAGGATTGTATTTGCAGGCTCTGGCCTTTGCTTGGGCCAGAGCTTCGTATTTGGATGTTCCCAGGGCTGGATTCCTCTCCTGCCGCCCTAGATCAGGACGGCATTTGAGAAAGCCGACCCTGTGGATTTAAAACGAAGCCCTGGCCTTTGCTAGGGCCAGAGCTTCGTATTTGGATGTTCCCAGGGCCGGATTCCTCTCCTGCCGCCCTAGATCAGGACGGCATTTGAGAAAGCCGGCCCTGAGGACAGTAAGCGAAGCCCTGGCCTTTGCTAGGGCCAGAGCCTGTATTTGTATGTCTTTCAGGGCCGAGTTCTTGCGAGACCGTCGACATGATCGACGATCATCGCAAAACTCGGCCCTGAGGATTGTATTTGCAGGCTCTGGCCTTAGCAATGGCCAGAGCTTGTGATTTTAATGAAGAGCCAAGTTCCTCTCGGATCGGGCCTAATGAGGACGACCGTCGAGGAACTTGGCTCTGAGCTGATGAATTGTAAACTCTGGCCTCGATGAAGGCCAGAATTTTTAAGGGAATGTTTTGATGGGATGAGCCTATGCTCAGTAAGCTCATCCCATCAAAACATTCGTTTAAAAATTGAATTAAAAATTATCGTATGCATTGAAAAATAAAAATGAACAATATTATTATATAATGAGAATAGAATAAATTATCATAAAATTGAATAAAATTATCCAAAAAATTGAAAATTTTAAAAATTAAATAAAAAATAACAAATTTCATAAGAAAATTAAGGAATAGAGAAATATTAGATAGAAAGAGTATGTTTATTTATGATTATAAGATTGAAATAATGAGATTTTGAGAGTTTTAAGAAGAATGTGATCTTTATATTTTTTTGGAGGAAGGTTTTACAAGAAAGAGTTACACAATGCAGGGTATTGTCCCTTTACCCTGCATTTGTAAACTCCTTTCTCGAATTGAAATTCAATGAATCACATTCAAGTGAAAAAGTGCAAGCTATTCGAGAAAGGAGTTTACAAATGCAGGGTAAAGGAACAATACCCTGCATTTGTAAACTCCTTTCTCGAATTGAAATTCAATGAATCACATTCAAGTGAAAAGTGCAAGCTATTCGAGAAAGGAGTTTACAAATGCAGGGTAAAGGAACAATACCCTGCATTTGTAAACTCCTTTCTCGAATTGAAATTCAATGAATCACATTCAAGTGAAAAAGTGCAATCAATTCCTGATTTGCTCATATAGGTGCAGGGTCCTAGTGATAGACCCTGCAAATATATGAGCAAATCAGGAATTATGTCCGACACATTCGCATCGAAGAACAAAAGTGCGTGCTTTTCCCATTCTGCACATATAGGTGCAGGGTGCCAGTGATAGACCCTGCATATATATGTGCAGAATGGGAAAAGTGTTTGCAACATTCGCATCGAAAGGTAAAAGTGCAAGCTTTTCCCATTCTGCACATATTAGTGCAGGGTGCCAGTGATAGACCCTGCACCCATGTGTACAGAATGGAAAAACTATCTACTTTGAATATTCTGCATCGGAATCTCTTGGTCAATATACAATTAAATACAATGATCACATCGATATTTGGAGATACAAGATAAGTATCTCCAAATGCCGATGTGATCATATATGATTGTCGATAAAAATTTGAAATCTCAAATAAGATGCAGATTAAAAAATGGATATGTGACCAAAATGAGTTTACAAACACAATATAGAGTATATATATAGATACCTCATTGTATTCAAAATGAAATAAAACAAAATTTTTGAAATTCATATCTTATATAAAACACATTATTCCTCAATACTATATGAGTAAATATGGCTTGATTAGTATAGATATATGCACATATATTTGGCCCCCAATATAAATTCTATGTTTTCGGGAAAGCAAAAGGTCCAATCGGTGTATGATAAATTTCACCTCACATGGCACCGCCCCGAAAAGGAGAATTCAAACAACATCAAAAAATGTTGAACCCGTTAAAAGAAATTCAGTTGAGATAAAATCAAATTTACCTTATTATGAAAAACCTATTTATCCACCTCCTCCTGAAAATATTTAAAAAAAACAGTCAGTGACGATTGACTGACTGTTGAATTAATGAAAAAACTAATGATAATCAGGTCAGGTATGAGGGGCTTCCAGGGGCTGCGCCCCTTCTAGCCCTGAAGATGTTTAGTATAAATGAAGAGGAGGACCGAACCCCAGCCGACCAGCCGGTGACTTTTTTGTAGAGCGCTCAAAATAGTATAACTTTGTCCGGACAAGTAAGGGTCTATCGTCGCTACAGGAAAAGTTACAGGCGTTCCAAGGAAGTATACTTTGAGAAGCCTTTTCTCCCTTATAGAATGAGATAGGACGGTTATTTTACAAAACTGACAACACTTTGACCGAGTAGTTTTTTGTGCTGAACAAAAAGTGTCATATAAACATCTGTCAAAAGCCGCTTTTTAACTTCACTTAAAATGCCACGTAAGCTACGTAAGAATATACGTAAGAGGAAGGGAGCATTGAAACATCCAATAGTAAAACTGACACCACAACAACAGTTGCAACAACAAATGATGAATGACCCCACTATGTTGCAACAAATGTCAAGCAACCCTATGCTTTTAAACCGAGTTATTGGTGCACAGAGTGGAGGTTTAAGAGCGGCACTTTTAGCGAAAATGGCAGGCTATGGTGGAGCTGCAGACGGAACAGCTTATAACCCTCAAAGTCAAATGAATTTGAGTTCACTCAAAAATCAAATAACAGATGTCAAAAAGTCAAACATAGACATACAGAAACAAATAAGTGAAAACGAAAAGAAACTAGAATATGACAGACACACAAAGAAACTCAATGAGTTAAACGTAGAGAAAAAGAAGAAAGAAGAACAACTGAAAGAACTAAGTACAGAGGAATATGCGAAAAAAGTGTCAGAAAAAGCAGCAGAAGTAGCAAAAATGGAACAAGATGTTATAAATTTGAAAAACCATACTACTCAATATAAAGTACTGAAAGATGAAGAGATAAAACAAAAAGCCCTGAAGACATATATGGATAGCGATGAGTATAAAAAAGAAGTTGAAGCAAATGTAAAGGCAGAAAAACTTTTACAGTTGCAAAACCAAACCGTACAGTATGAAAACTTAGCACAAGAAAGTAAAAATAACGACGCAGCCATGCAAAAGGCAATGAAAAGCGCAGAATATATAAAAGCTAATAATGACTGGTTAGATGCCCAAGCCAACGCTAAAGCAGCCCAACTTATAGGGTCAATAAGGACAAAAATACAAGCGGATGAAGACAGTTCAAATGAAGCTTTAATGAATGCTGACTTTAAGAATGCCTTCGAAGCTCTTCATAGTAAGGTGAAACTAGTGAACGACTTCTCATCTGGAAAGAAACTGAAGTCTGAAGGTTTCGACAACGAGTTAAGAGAAGTAGCACAAAATATGACGAAAATAACAGATGCAGCAACGAGACAGGCAGTTCAAAGTGCCTATGACGCCGTTAGAGCAACTGTTGTGGAAAGTCAAGAAAAAGAGTTACAACAGACCAAAACAGACCTAGTAAATGCTTTCTTAAAAACGAAAAGTCAGGTAGGACATTATGCTGCAGATGGAACATATGTGCCAGCTGGTGGAACTTATATACCACCAAACCCTCCAAGAGAAGCACCTGCACCAGGACTACCTATAACATTTACATCGTCACATGGACACAGACACAGGCATGCACCAAAACCAACACAACAACCAACAGTTCAAAATCCAGCACCACAACAACAACCAAAACCAACAGTTCAAAACCCTGCACAACAACCAACAGTTCAAAATCCAGCACCACAACAACCACAAACAGAGCAAGGACATAAAAGAAGTAGAGAACAAGGAAACCAAGAATTCTTAAAAATGCTTAAGGAAGATTATGGTTACCCAGATACTCTTGACTTTAGTGACAGATATAAAGAAGCTATTAAAAAGTTCAAGGAAGGAAATACTGACCCGAACCTATTTAGCTTTATGGTTCAGCACCAAATGGGATATAATCTCAAACCTGGAAAATACAAGCTCGCTAAGGGATATGATTTAATAGCATACCATCCAAATGACATGGATGAATTTACTCCGAGATATTTGGTGTCAGAGCTAAATGATAATTCAACTCTCTTCATGAAACGCGTAAAAAATAGAGACGGAACGAAAGAAGAAAGGTTTATGAGTCCGGATGACTTAGATAGGGAACTTGTTAAAAACGGTCTCGGAATATATGAAATGCCAGCAGATGAGGTACAAGAAACTCCACAGGAAGAAGTTCAGATACAACCAGACATGGAAGAAATAGTTCAGCAACAACAGCTAGAAGAGCCTGAAGGAAACGAACAAGTCCCTCCTTTGGAAACTAACTTCACAGAACTAGATGAAGATTTGGAACAGCCGAAAAATCTTGACCCTCAACAAGTGTATGCGGAGAATATGGAATCTTTCCAAGAGTCTAAGAAAAATTCGGCTGACATGGTAGAAGAATATCGAAAAATGTTCGCCGACATACAAAAGACTCCAACATCAGATGAAAATATTCAGCATAGAATGGAAGTACTGAAAGATAATGTACGCAAATACAATAACCCTTTTTACTTACGACCATATAACGTCCAATCTTTGGATGAACTCGGTGAAAATAAAAGGTTAAATTTCAACAAAACATATAGAAATGAAACATTGTTTAAAGTTCATTCAGAACCTAACCAATATGGAAACAAACCTACTTTTGTTTCTGCAGACTATGGAACTACAATGAGATGGGGTCATAAAGCTAATCCGGATAGGTGGTTCATAAACTTACAACCACAATTCCAAGAAGTTGTAGACGCAATGGAAGTGAATGGTGAACCAGATATAGCTGGTATTTTCAGCGCGGCTTTAATGCCATTGAAAGATATGAAAGATGCAGATATTTTGGACCAGTATGAAATGAACATGGCTGAAGGAAATATAACAGCTGACGTTCTAGAACATTTATCTCAAAGAACTACACAGAACCATAGAGATGGTATATTTGGTGAAGAGTTTAGAAAGAAAGTTAGGGAGAGAGAAGGAAGAGAACCTATTGTACATGACCTTGCAAACGAAAGTTTGCAAAATGTCATAAAAACTTACTTTGCAGACAATGAACCGAGAAGGGATGAATATTTAAGAAAACTCAAATGGACAGTACCAAATGAAATGTTAGTATTGAAAAACATGTTCCTTGACAAAATAAAACCAACTACAGAAATAAATGACGCAAGACTGAAACATTGGGTAAAAGCTTTCCCATTCACAAAAGATATTATTGGTAACATGGAAAGAAAACCAGAATGGCTACAAAAACATATATTTGGAAACGAGCTTATTCCATATGGACAAGCTCTGTTTGAAGAGCTTGAACCGGAAACTCAGGAAAGAGTCATGCAAACAATACGCGAAGACTCAAATACAAACTATGACAAAATCTTTCTAGGATATAGGTTACCTGAGATGGGCGACCAGAGCCCAAAGGCAAAAAGGACATGGGAAATTTACAACATACTAGGTGAACATGAGGCAAAGATGCAACAACTTGAAGCAGAGGGCAAGTTACCAAAAGCGACACCAAAGAAGAAGAGAAGAGTAGAACAAAGTGAAAGTAGTGAAGAAGTAACTTCATCTAGTGAAAGTAGTGGCAATGAAGGAAAAAGAAGAGTTAAAGATTCAGTTAAAAAGTCAGCCAGGAAGAAAGTAAAGCTTGGTCCGAATGGGTTCTATTATGACATATAAATCCAACTATTCTATATTTTTACCCATATGAAATGTACGCCGCTCAGAATATAACGCCAACAGTTTTGGATGCCATGAACGGAAATGTTTCCGAATGGGATAACGAATGTGACAATGCCATTAGAAGGTCAGAAATAGTTCCTGGAACTTACGAATATACAACTGCTGTTTCTTATGGAAACGTAGGTGAGTTTGGAGAAGGTTCTTCAACAACAGTAGATATTGCTTGCGACAGGTTTCATATTATTTCTATTGACAACTCATTCTTATACGTGGAACAAGACATTGAAATAAAACCTTCTGCCAAGTTGTCTGACAAGAAAGGTTGCAATGGAATTTTCTATGTCGGATACCAATATGCTCCAGAAGTTTTCATGGGATATAAGATATATTCTAACTCTGACTTAGTTCAAACAGTAACATGGGCAAACTATGAATGGTTCGCTTTGAGAAACTCAGTACAACCACAAGCTAGAGAACAAACAGACCAGTATGCAACTATTGAGAAAATAAGAAGACTTGACCCTAACGTTCCAGGAGTTTATGTTAACCTTTCTGGACAAACTGCAGCAGCAGTAACCAAAGTAAAACTGAAACTTAGAGTTCCTTTGTCATCTTTCCTCATCTTCAGGTTTTTAAGATACTTGCCAAACTGGGCAGGAAAAATTTCTATTGAACTTACTCCAAGCAAAAATAACTTAGTCATTGCACCAACACAAGACCCATTCACTATTACAGACGTAAAGGGAACAAATCAAACATCATTCGCCGAATTTTGCAAAGACAAGGTTGACTTAGACTTTGGTTTCTCAAACTTCAACAATGAAGTAAACTATTATTTCAATGCTGCTGGAAATGCTTGGGACCCAGTTAAGTTCACATGCGAAAAATTTGAATGCAAGAGAATAGAAAGCAGACTTGCAGTCTATATGTTGGACCCAGATATTTCAAATGCTTTAGCTGCCAAATATATTGCAGTTCCACTTATGTTCCCTATACACCAAATATCTGTCAAAGATTTTGCAGGTGAAGTTGGAAACCAAAGTGCTGACCCAGGTGCAAGAACAGATATTGCCTTAACAACTGCAATGAAACATGCAGATACTATGTTTGTACTGTTCAGACGAACTATAAATGACTATTCTTGTTTCTACAACCCTGGTATTAAATATCATATAAACATAGATGGCAAATATTATCCAAGAGAAGAATATTCTACAGTTGAGGATATGAGGTCATACAACTTGACATTAGATGCTATGAACTTTAACAACAACTTCACAACAACCATTAACCCTGAAATGCAAAGTTCTATTATGCCATATGTGAAAGTATGGACTCATACAGGAGGTCAAAAAACTCAATATACAAATGGAGACCGTTCAAACTTTTGGTTTGGCATTCCATTTGCTGACTCAGAAGACTTTATGGGTGGTATTTCAACTGTTGGTACAGTTCAAATACAATATACTGGTGACAGAGACGGTCCAGATGAATTGAAAGCAAAGAAGTTTACAAAACCAATAGCACTTTTCACGGAAGATGCTCTTTTGAAGATTCGTTCGATGAAACCTGCTGGGGCTCCTCAGATTGGCATAACGACAGCTTCCATCGAGCAGATTTTGGCAGCAGGTCAGTAAGTTGTTCTTGAACTGACTTCTCTCCGTCAAATATTGACAGTACGCCAGTTTTGACATAATATTGTATTATAAACTTTCCTTTAGTAATATCGGTCAGTTTTGAAGTTATATTTTTGTCTGCTTCAAGAACTTTCACCATTTCAGTTATACCAACTTTCTTTGCTTTATGAAAATATTTAGGTTCAGCAAAGACTGCTATTCTATAACATTTTCCATTGTTTGTGTAAAGAACTATTCTGTCAATGTATTTGTATTGTTTGTGAGTATAAACTTTGTTCTGCTTCAATTCAATAAGATATCCGAATACGTCCATCTTTTTATTCTAAGTAAAATGTCATTTCCGAAAAATAAAAGCGTAAGTGTTTCAAAAGGTTTAATGGCGGTGGCAGATGTGAAGTTAAATTCACCAACTCAAACAAACAGTCAAAGTGTTATTGTCAATGTCAAAGACAGAGATGTTGAAGTGGGGAAACCATACGAAGACGAAGATGGTATAACAATTGTTCCTGTAAAAGAACCAACATATCCTGAAGTTAGCAGAGACTTAAGTTCTGTTGCAGATATTCGAAACGACTACCAACAACTGAAAGACAAACTTCAAACTCAGGAGAAGATTTGTCAAGCTTTAAGTATAATGTTAAACTTGGTCGAACACAACCCTGTAAAAGTGAACTCATATGTCATTGCACCTCATGAAGTTTTGAAAGAACTATTGAAACTTTTGACAGAGGCAGACGATATAAACATCAAAGAAATAGAACCCGACATTGGTTGCTGTGGTGTTTCATATAATGTCATTGACAAGATATACGTTATGAAAGGAGGTGAAACGTTGAACTTAAAGTATAGTTTCCCAGACGTCATAAAAATATTTGACGACCACAACATTTCGTTAAAGTTTATTTGCTAAGTAAAAATGTCAAAACTTCTTGAAAGATGTTTGAAGAAAAATAATATAGACTTTATTTCATGTAAAGGACTTTACACACTTTTGAACGATATGAAAGACCCTGTTTTGTTTGTTCGTGTAGACAAAGGAAAGTTCTATGTCTTTACAAAATATTTGAACTTCTTAGACAGAGAACTTCAAGAAACGCCATGTGAAAGTTTAGATGAAGTTCTTCTCCACTTTCAGAAAAACTTTTAAATATATATAAATGGCAGAAGACATAATGGTTTATACTATTACGACTAAAAACCCTGAGTCATATAATTCTATAACAACAAACTTACAAAGTCCTCAAGGACGATATTGTAAACTAACCTTAAACACAATGACGACTAAAGCCTGTTTTGCTCTTTTGACACCAGAAGACTTTATTGTTGTAAATGGTAAAAAATACTCCTTTGAAGATACTTACTCAGATATACCACCAACAGGTTTTGTTGACTTATTTAATACTTTAAGTACGGGTGTAACATGTGCTGCAACTAGAGCAGGTTTCATTATGTTTGGATGTCCGACTGAGTTTACTATAAACGATATGAGCTATAATACAAAACTTATTTCTGGTTTTTACTACCAACAGTTTCCTATAACAGGAAAAGGTGTCATACAAGGAATGTCTATTCCATTGACATTAAGCACACCAATCTTATATATTGTTTCAAACTTAGGTTCAAAGTGTTATTCGAATGTCGACAGAAACTATTATGACCAAAAGATACTTATGCGTATAAACAATACTTTCTCTGCTGGTTTGCCTATTGTTCATTCGAATGCAGAATTTTCAACCTTAGTGAACTCAACCACTTTGGCAAGTATAACGTTGACATTAGTTGACGCAAACTTTGTTCCTGTAAAACTTTTATGTCCTATGTATTTGTCAATGACGGCAGAAAGTTTCGAATTGGAAGATGCAACTGGTGAAAGTATTGTATTACAAGAACAACTTCAACAACAAATAGCTCAAGAACAACAAATGCAACAAATGGAACAACAAAGTCAAGAATAAAAAAAATATTTTTTTTATTTTTATAAAAATGTACAGAATAGATGTTTCAGATTTTTATGACTTCCAAGCATTCAGAAATATGTGTCCATTTAGAGACTATAACAAAGCAGTCGAGAATTTGAAACGTTTAGTCATTTATGTCGACTCTGCCCCAGAATGTTATGTTATGAAAGAATGGGATGTAGTCTTTAACAAACCTAAAGCGACAATAGTTTCAGAACAAGAATGTAGACAGAAACTTAAGAAAATAAAAGTCGTACAAGTTGGCATGAAGATGTTAG